TCGCCCGCGCCGCCTCCTCTGGGAATTCGACCCGCGCGCCATGCGCGACGCCACCCTCCTCCACAACGCTCTTCTCCGGTACTCCTCTTCGCCTCGATGGGCCTGCATCTATGACTTTTCTAACTTCGCCATACAATCGATCGATTGCATGCACAGATCGCTGCTGAAGGAGCACAAGGGCTACGAAGCGGCGTTCATCAGGGATCGGAACAGCGGCGAGGGCTCGTTTTGCATGGCCTTCCACAACGTGCGCGACGCGCTGGCCTGGTGCGCCGACGCCCAGCAGCGGCTGCTGCTGGTCGACTGGCCTCCGGCGCTGGTGGACCACCCTGGAGCGGCCGAGGAGTGGGGCCACACCGACGACCGCGTCGTGTTCAAGGGCCTCCGGGTGCGAATGGGCGTCAACGCCGGCTCGGCGCGGGCCGTGAAGGACGCCATGACCCGCCGGGTCGAGTACGTGGGGCCGACGGTCAACGCCGCCGCGCGCATCACGGCGCTTACCCACGGCGGCCAGGTGCTCCTCTCCCAGTCGGCCTACGACAAGCTGACCGCCGGCGGCGGATTGGAGGAGCGCTGGCGCAACAACTTCACCTGCCTGGGCCGCTTCGAGGTCCCCGACCAAGCCTCTGGTACGTTTCAAAAACCAAATGGTTTACGCAAACGTTTTGTTAGGTTTCTCAACTAAACTAAATGTGTGTGAGATACAGGGGCGAGATTGTACGAGTTCAAGGTGGAGGGGCTGGAGGCCCGGTTCTTCGGCGGGGTGGCCTCGGGGCTCATCAATAGGAGGAGCGAGCCGAGCGAGGACGGTGAAGAGCAGGAGGAGAACGTGGAGCCGACCAGAGACAGCGCGTGCTCGGGTCCGCTGTCGCAACCGGGCGACACGATCCGCCGCAACGAGACGGTGCAGAGCGTGGTGGGCGAGGGGATGATGTTCAAGGAGGACAATTTCCTCACGTCGGCCAACCTCTGCCGCTGGATCATCGACTTTAAGGAGATCCAACTCGGCAAACAGGTATGTGTTGCATTGCTTTCAACCGAACATACCACTCATTCCACTGTGATGGATGGGGAATGTGGCTGATGGAATGTGTCTGTGGAATGTTCGCTAGGTGGGAATGGGGTCCTACGGTATGGTCTTCCGCGGCCGATGGAAGGGCGTCGACGTGGCCGTTAAGCGGTTCATCAAACAGAAGCTCGACGAGCGCAGCATGCTCGAGTTCCGCGCCGAGATGGCCTTCCTCTCCGAGCTCCACCACCCCAACATCGTCCTCTTCATCGGTACCAACTGATCAACGGACACAGATCATCGGTTGATAACTGAAGCTAACCACACGCGACACGACACGACCCACAGGATCATGCGTGAAGGCGCCCAATCTGTGCATTGTGACGGAGTTCGTGAAGCAGGGCAGCCTGCGCGAGCTGCTCCACAACACGAGCGGCGTGAAGCTCGAGTGGCTGCGGCGCATGCGAATGCTGCGCTCGGCGGCGCTGGGCATCAACTACCTCCACTCCCTGCGGCCGGTCATCGTGCACCGCGACCTCAAGTCGTCCAATCTCCTGGTGCGCCACACCTCCCTTAAACAACGCACGACACACAACACGCAACACGCCACCACACGCCACACAACGCTAATTGATGAGGCAGGTGGACGAGAACTGGAACGTGAAGGTGGCCGACTTTGGGTTCGCGCGGATCAAGGAGGAGAACGCGACGATGACCCGCTGCGGCACCCCCTGCTGGACCGCGCCGGAGATCATCCGCGGCGAGAGCTACTCGGAGAAGGCCGACGTCTACAGTTTCGCCATCATCATGTGGGAGGTGCGTGGCTAGCCACACACCCCACTTCCCGCCAAAACGATCACCGCCTTCTTAACAAGACGTGTGTGTGCGATTAGGTAGTGACGAGGAAGCAGCCGTTTGCGGGCCTCAATTTCATGGGCGTGTCGCTCGATGTGCTCGAGGGCAAGCGGCCGCAGGTGCCGGCCGACTGTCCGCGCGACGTGGCCAAGCTCATGGCCAAGTGCTGGCACGACAAGCCCGCCAAGCGACCGTCGATGGAGGACGTGGTGGCCTTCTTCGACCGCCTCGTGGAAGCTTCAAGCCCTGGCTCCGGCGATGCCGAGCTGGGCTCTCCCTAAATTCCACTTATTTTGTGGTATATTGTAGGTGTGTGTAAGGTTGTATTGTTACAATACAAAACTATCTTTGTTACAATGACCAGAAAAAACAGCAGGGAAAGGAGGTAGGTCCGAAAGTCTCTTCAGAGAATTGAGAGCGAAAAAATGAATGGAAGGTCGACCTATCTTCCTCAGTTGTTTTGGGCACACAAGCAAACCAAGAGTGAGGGAAGCGACGGTCAACGTGGACGGTGCAAGCGAATTCGAATTCGAGACTCGCCCCCAGGAGGGGAGGGCAGCACTGCAGCCGCTGCCCCGGCTCCGCAACCGCTTCGCTGCTCTCGACGACGTTGAAGGTGATGACCTAAGTATGCACGAGACAGGCTGCCAAGACGTGCATGCTCGCCCCCGAGGCTTTTCCCAGAGATCGTCCTCACCATCGAACAAGAAGCCGGTGACACGCTTGGAGAAGAAGGACCAAAGGCGGCATGTCCCAGCAGGAGGCGAAGAAGATGTAAAGGGCAAAGAGGTCGACGCTGTGGATCTAGAGCTTCCTGAAATGGACGACTTCGTGTGGTGCTACGTTTTCCAACAAGTGGGCAGCGCTGCACAACTGGCCCGGCTCCGTCTGGTACGCCAAGTGGGCCTCTCTCTCTACGCCATTCCCAGTGGCTCACCTCGAGTGGTGGTTTGCAGGTGTGCCAGAGGTGGCGAGCTGTAATCGATGCCGAGGAGCGGTTGTGGCGGGCGCTGGTCGAACGCGACTTTGGGTGGAAACAGAGCGAGAGCCGCACGGGCAAGGGCGCCAGGCGTCGCCAAACCAGGCACATCGACTACCAGTCCCTCTACCGCAATCTCTCCATCTCCACCAAGGCACTCACGCAACAACATGTTTTGATGATGTACAGTCATTCAAGTTCCATTTTTCTGACATTTTTGCTGGGCGTGGCAGGGAGTGGCCAGGAAAGAGGGGCTGATGGCAGAGCTTCAGCAAAGACAGCAGGCCAAGCTCTCCAGCTTCATGTGCCACATCCTGCCACACGTGCTGGAACTGCAGATCAGGAGGGCAGCCAACGCCAAACCGCCCAACACCTACACACGCGACTACCTGCAATCGCACGCCCAGTCCTGGCTCGCTTGCACTCACCCACACGCGTACGCTTTCCTTTTTTTTCTTTTTATTATTCTTATTCTTATTCTTATTCTTATTGTTCTTATTGGAGTTTTTTACTGCTTTGGCATTTGTGTCGTTTTTACAATATTGTGGCTAAAGTCTGCAATTCATTCACGTGTGACATGGTGCCAAGTAGTTCAAAAGGCAGGAGAAGCTACAGCTTGGTGTGCAAGGACTGCCAGCTGGGGATGACGCCTAAGACCTACCAGCCGGACGAATACTGGGAAAAGAACTGGCCCAAGGTGCTGGACTATCGGCTGGGCCAGAGGAAGGCCCGGGAGTCTATGGCCCACCGCTTCCAAGGCCTGTTTTCCTACCACCTTGACTTGGACAACAGTTAGGCAGTGTAACTTGTTTGTTTATTCTTTTTTTTATCTTGTGGTGGGTGTGTGAACCTGACAAGCAAGAATCATCTTCCCGTTCGTTGCCCCAGCTGCATGGCTCCCAGGAAATAGCACAACATGAACTCCATCACGCGCTATGACACGAGCACACAATCAGAACCGCACACACCACGACGGGACACACGACTCGAGAGATATGGGAACCTTGTGAAGTTCGCGATAGGCCCACGTGATGGCGAGGAAGGTGAGGAACGTGGCCGCGCTAACCTGGGGGTACTCTCCCGCCACGGTGCCCATCGGTGCGCACTCCTCTACCTTGGCAGTCTGTACGACGACAGCCGATGAGCTCGAGACCTCGGCCCTCTGTGTTTCCTCATTGCCCTCTTCTTCGTCGTCTTCGTTTTCGAGTTCTCTTTCGTCCACTCGGGGAGTGTGGCGCATCGACCCATCGGTAGTCGCTGATGAGCGTTGTCAGTCACATCCCGAAAAGGGGTGGTGGTGGTGGTGGTTGGTGGGACGACATACCAGAGAGGTCCCACTCCCAGCTCAGCACCCCTTGCGTCGATGTGGCATCATCGTGCCGCTGGATCGCCTCCACTTCCTTTTCCTTGTGCAATTTCTGAGCGTGCGTGCGTGTGCGTTGAACACAGTGTCAATGCTACAGGGGTGAATGATGAGCAGGGGACAGAAGGGCACCTCCAGCGCGCGATCGATGACGGCCTGCTGCTTGCGGTACTTCTTCTTGAGCGTCTTGCAG